TGCGACCGTACCAGAGGTCACAACATCTTGGTCTTCATATATTTTAGGGTGATTAAGTTTATATTCACCAAAATTCGTCTAAAGTGATAGTTGCTAGTTGAATTTTACGTTTTCACTCAATTTCACACTTGCCCTTGCTTCCAAAAATGCATTTTTACGGAAAGAACGGTCATGTGAAATTCCATGGAAATCTGATGTCTTTTCAACTTCCAGTCCACTTGTCACCGTAAACGAATTAGGGTGAATACATTTTACGCATATGACCTACTGGTAATATCGAATACTACTTATACATCGAAATAGGCTTTATAAGTAGTGTTTTGGGAATATCAGTAAATCATTTATATCAGATGTATTCACCCTTTAGGGTTTAGGGCGAAAAAGAGCCAAAAATGATACGAGTATAAGCGACGATTGCAGACTTAATTTACCGAAACGTCTTTGCATTTGGGCTGAAGTGGACTGCAGTTTCGACCTTATTTCAACTGATCTTATTAACACCCTTGACGGGACTCGAACTACGACAGTCAGCTGGCAATCTCGACATGTTACTCGGCATGCCACATTGCCACGATTGGTCTCGGGTGTGAGGCAAGATGTCAATTTCAAGCAAGGCCAGGCATTTTATCATATCACATTCTGTCGTGGGGTTGCCTATTTCTCTTTTTAAAGTTAGAATGACCATCTTTCGCAGACAGATTGAGTCGCCTTCTTTCGGATGACTCTCACACCTTCCATCCATCAATCAAGCATGAATAGTTTTTAGTCAACTTTTTCCAGAATTTCTTCATCTCAATAGCCTCTCTCCTGTTTCGTTTACCGACACATGCATCCCTCGTTTGGGACCAATCATTCGCGTTTTTCGTCATGTCACTGCAGAGTCGGACAGTCTTGCCGACGTTAACAAGAATGATTTCCGGCTCTGATGATGTGTTACGTCCTTCTTTCTAAAAGAGGACGGATGTCTCGTGGACCACGTCGAATTGTACGTCGAAGTAAGGCAGTTCGAGTGGCCTCAATCTTGGAATCTTTTCTTCATGAACCTCTTGAAGAAATGCCAGTCCAACCAGCCAGTCGAGCGATTGTTCGAGACCCAGTTTTTCTTCATGCTCAACAGAACTGTCGGCTTCAGGCGTCCTGCTCGTGCATTCCACGTCCTCCGAACCCATCGCGCATCTGCCTCGTCCGAAAACCGGTCTTCCCAGCCCCAGCACCGGGGCTCGGGCCTGCGTCCGTCTGTCATCTCTTGCCCCTCCAGACAGCCTCACATTGCACGACTGGCCGAAGCAATCCGAGAATAGAGCCCAGCCATACGCCAACGGCCAGCAAGTCATTAGTTGCCGGACGCTTCTCTCCCGCCTTTGTGCATGCTTGTGTGTGATGGGAAAAATAGACGTGCATATGTGACTAAATGAACGTGTATACTGCGTGTGTGTGTGTGTGTGTGTGTGTGTAAACGTTTCTATGAATAAATATGCATGCCTTAGCGATTTACCGTGTATGGGCATACATGAGATGTGATAAAGGAGTGGTGTTTCCATTTTCCCACCAACATATGAATAGGCCCCACGTTTCCAGTCAAGTTCGCATAGCCTTGCTGCTCCTAAAGCTGTTCCCATCCACACTTGGGCTGGCTGTAGTCTCGAAAACCTACTTCTAAATGAAAACAAAGTGTATGTGTATGCCTGAATACCAGAACGCGAGTACATTTGTGAGTAAATCCTGCTGTTTGTGCCTGCCTGCGTGTGTGCGAATGTGTATAAGTAAGTATGTATGTATGTATGTATGTATGTGTGTATGCGTGTGAATGAATAAAAATATGTAAAGGGTGAGCGAGTGCATTTGTGTGTGTCCAATAGAGGGGGCTGTACGTGTGAAAGACTGCGTTTATGGGTAAGAGAATAAATGTGTAGATGTGTATGCCTAATTGGGAACTGTATTCACCCTACTTCATGTGGGATGATGAAGCAGTGGTAGTTGAACTTTCCTTCTGCGATATCGGTTGACCTTTAATTTCCAATTAATTTCACACAGCCTCGCTTCACAAAAGATTTTCCCATTCAGGCAGAGTTGGACTGCAGCCTCGAGCTCGCCCCAACTGGTCTCACCACCACCCCCAGTGGGATTCGAGCCGGTGAAACTCGTTTCTACTGTGTCGCGCAAGGGCACTCGTGTCAGTGTGGCTTAGTGTTCACATCATACGCTGCCCTACAGCGACCGGGATTCGAGTCCCTCCGGGGGCTGCGGATGAGACTAGTTGAAGCGAGGCAGAAGATGGCGTCCACGCCAGCTTGGATGAGATTTCCTTGTGGGAAGCAAGTCTCTGTGAATGTAAAGTGAAAACATGACGACCATTCATAGCATTGTGTGAAAATTCGGCTGCCAGTCCTTGATCATCTTAAACGAAATGGAGTGGATAAGCTGTTTCATCCAATCTACTCATGTAGCCAAAATAATAATTGCTTAAGTTTGTGTATGAAAGCAGATGTGTGCATGTTGAGTTTATTTAGCGAGGAAAGCCCTTGTCGTAAAAAGATGTGTGATTGCATGTGAGCGTGTGTGTGTGTGTGTGTGTGAATATGCAGATGAGTGTACTTGTGTGCGCGTGTGTTTGAGTGAAGGTGTATGTGTTTATGCGAATAAAGGCAGGTGGCATAGTGAGTGAGGTAACAAGTGAGTGTGTGTGTGTTCGTGTGAATGTGTTTGCAGATGAGATGTACTCATCCTATTTCATTGAGGGTGATTAGCAAACTGGTAGTTGAGTTTTCCGACAATCTGATGAGTAGACCATACGTTTGCAGTGAAGTTCATATAGCCTTGCAGGTTCGACCTCGCACCACCAGCGGGACTCGAACCATGAAAATGCAGTGTGCAATCACAACAAGTTATCCAAGAGTGACCTTGTGTCACAGGGCACAGGGAAATTCCACGGAGGGCCAGACATTTTGCCATATCGCATACTTCTATGAGATTGTAGATAAATCAAGGTTGCATGTGCTAAAGCAACCGACTAATTTATTTATTTTTAGTTTATAAGTAGTCTTTAAGGCTACGAGTTTATCAAATATACGCAATGTATTCATCCTAGTCTGCTAAGAAGGATGCTGGAAATTAGATCAAAACACAATG